GGGGGAAAGGGCAGCTCGCCCGCGCGTTTGACGGCAAGACCTGCGCTTTATTGCTCCGCCGGCACACGGTTGTGCACGGTCTTCTTGCCTCTCGGGTCTTTGTTGAGCGCAGGGATGGGCTACGGTGGCGTGTAGGCGTTTGCAGCCTCGAACGTGGATGTTCTCCGTGGTTTCTCCTCGTTTCCGAGGCCTCTTGGGTGGCGTCGAAGAACTGCTGGCGCGCCTGCTGTGTGTCATGCATGGTGGGAGGCGTGGGGTTTGAGAGGTGCTGCCGGGAGTGCCGGGTATTGTGCTGTCACAGAGCTTATCACCAGAGGAAAAAGGCTTCGCAAGTAGTTCTCGAACTTTAAGAAAGAGATTGGAGTGTTCTTTCCTTGGCGTTTTTCGTGTATATTCTCAGGTAATTTTTGTGAGCGTGTTCCCAGCCACATAGGTACTTAAAGTATGTCTTCTAAATCGTCGAAGAAGGAATTCACAATGATGATGATAATTTAAAAGCCTACAGTGCTTAAAAAGGAGTGTCTGTTATAGATAGTGGATTTCTGTTGTTTAACGGGAATTATAAAAAGAACATCTTTAGTAATTTTATTTGCATAGGGTCACTGTTTGAAAAAATTGGCGCCTTCACTTTTTTTTTTTTTTTTGTGCATTGCAGTTGTTTTTAAGGGAAACGAGTAGAAATAACCCGCTCTGAGGAAACCATGGCAAAACCAGACCCAAAACGCAGGGTGTGTTCTCGGGAGTCGTCGGTGTCTTCTCTGCTAGCGAGCTGCAGCCTGAGCGGCAGCCATTCCTCTCATTCTGCTGGCTGCTTTCACTACAAGGATAAACTGTACAGCTCTGCGTCTCAGGCTCTGCAGGCCTATATCGACGACTTTGATCGAAGCCGAATGTGTCCCGGTGCAAGCCCTGGAAAAGTGATCGTTAATGGCGGTTCTACCAACAGGCCGCAATTCTCCAACTATATTTATAAGCCAAACAGTGGTAGGCTTTTCTTTGGATGTTTTCTGTATGTTCCGATGTTTTGAAGCATTTGAGAGACGTGTGGGGGGACCCCAAAAACCCAGAATTGTGCTTGGGAGGGCGGGCCCCTGGCAGTTCGGGCTTCCCTGCCCGGCGCGTGCTCGGGGAGCCCGTCGGCGTCAGTGCCCCAGCTGTCGTGGTTGTGAGGGGCTGTGTTTGGTTTCAGGGACTTTTGACCAAAAGGGCAGGACCCCCTGACTCCCTGTTCACCCGGTCTTTCCCTGAGCTGCTTTTTTTGTTCCCCCACGAAGGAAGGGAAACAGTTTGCCAGTGTACGAGAGGCAAAACCCAAAACGGCGGGAGCACTAGAGGCATCAGAATTGGTGAATTCAGAAACTATTTTGAGCAGTGGACATAGCATCTTTACAGGTGTATTGCCTCAGATGAAGAGTACTTTGAATGTGGTTGAAATTTAAACGTGTGAGAATAAATACGTAATTGTTTAAATAAATAAATTCTGGCGTTTTGGGGTTCCCCCCTTGTAGCCTTGTAAAACTTGACTTTTTTTGTTATTTTGAAGTAAAAGTAACTTTTATAATATTGAGATCTGGATATTTTTGTAAAATGTTGGTATAACACTTTCGTTCCCAGGAATTTTCAGCTAAGATTCTCTTTTGACTTTGGAGTTATATAACTGTAAAGTTATAATATAACCATACAGGTGGCTGATTCTAAACTCTTAAGCCATTATACTATAGCATAATGAAAAGTGTTGACATGGTGATTTTAGCTTTCCTTAACTCGCTTAATGACTTTAATCAAATCTCAGCCTTTTTGACTTTATACGCATTCTATTCCAGTTGATGGGTTAGGTCTTTCTGGTCTTTATTCTATGAAATGATGATATTCACAAGATGTTAAATGTTTGAAGGCAAGTTTGGAAAATACACCTGTTGATAAGCCAGTTAGCACTTTACTGAGCACTCACAGAACAGGCCTTCTAAGAGTTGTGTCCAACTCTTAGAAGGGTATGGGCCGTATGTTCCAGAAGAAGAGTTAGAACAGTTCTGTGTAGCCACGCAGTTGTAGGATTTGTAGGCGAGAAAGCAAACTTTTTTCTCACCAAGTTTTATGCCCTTTTTTTTTCTGTGCTGCAGCCAGTACTAAATTACCAGGGTTGATCTAATTATCTGACTGCGTTTGGTATGTCTAGATGAAAAGATTGAAGAGTAAATTAGAAAACACAGAAAATTCAGGAGGTTGGAGAGAAATGTAGAAAAGAAATAAAGCAGATTAAAGAAACGTGAGAAAGAAATCACTTCCTGTTTTACCCCTTATACTTTTAGCTTTAACGAGGATAAGAGGAAAGCACAAATGATTCTTGATTTCTTATTCTCATTTACTGTTTGATATTATAATGTACTTATGTGTAATGAAGGAAGATAAACAGAGCTATTCTTTGTTTTACAGCTTTTGAAAATCCTGATCACAAAAAGCACTCAAACTCTCTATCCTATAGAAGACAGACTGTTAATGACATAGACTCCATTAGCCTAACAACTGATGATCTATTAAAACTTCCAGCAGATGGATCGTTTTCTTTCACTTATGTTGGACCAAGTCATCGAATGGTTAAGAAAAACAAGAAGTTCATTAGAAGACTGGATTTGTTTGACACTGAAAAGAATTCAGATTTTCAAGACCCCTCCACTTCCGTGGACAAGGATACCTTAGTCACTCCTGTTGTGTGCACAAATAGAAATGGAAAGCAAAGTGGTAGGCTAAAAAACCCCAAACTTATGAATAGGACTAGTAAATGTGTTTCTGAATCATCTTTATTTTTTCCCAAGAAATCATCTTTCAAGGACTGTTCAGAACACGGTGTTGAAAATAATTATCCAAGATGGCTCACTAGCCAGAAATCTGACCTTAATGTTTCAGGGATAACTAGTATACCTGATTTCAAATACCCAGCCTGGCTCCACAGTCAAGACTTGCTATCTGATGCAAGTAGTCGAAAGGTTTCTAAAATGTTCCAAGATGACCAGTGTTCCCCTAGTCATAGTTACCAAGCCCAAAGAACTTCTCGGCTTGTGAATAAATTACATTGTTTTGAACATTCTTTTGAACCGTCAAACTTTTCAAATTTCTTGAGTGATAATAAAGAATTAGTTAATGAACACAAATGTGATTTTGAACATAGCCGATGTCAGTGCGAAAATCCACTTTTCTCAGGACAGTCGACAAAGCCATTCAGTGGTAATACTTTGTTTTTCGCTATAGTTTTTTTTTTTTTTTTCTTTAAACCAAAGAAAATGTTGTAAAGTTGATGTAATATCTAGGAGCTTTATGTTTTACTTTGATGTAATGACTTTTTTGAGAATGCTTATTATCTTCACTTATACTGCCTTTTGTAACTAGAAAATGTCTCTTCTCCTTTTTTCTTTGCTTGAATGTCACATTTTAACATAACTTGCTGTTGTAAATGTGTGTATATTCCAAATTACCTGAATTGTTGTTGACTTTGCAAGATTTTGCTATGCTTTGTGTTTAAAAAAAGTTAATAAGATCTTTTAAAATTAGGTGACAAAATTGAACTGCTTATCCTGAAGGCCAAGAGAAATCTAGAGCAGTGTACTGAAGAATTACCAAAGTCTGTGGAAAAGGATGGCAGTCCTTGCTCATTAGACAAACTTGAAGCAGAAAGATCATGGGAAAATATTCCTGTTACTTTGTAAGTAAGTGACAATGGAAAAACTGTTTAGTTTTCCAAGTGAGAATGTCATATGAACACCTGATTTATTTTTAAAACAATGGTAATAGTAACACTGTAATTCTATAGAGCATAGCTTTCAGTGTTGCTGCTTTAAATTGCATATTTTATTTGTTATCACAAGATGGTGTAATGTTTCATAACCTTAGGTACATTATATAATTTCTGTCTTTGTTACCAATGTTCATTTTGTTTCCTCATAAAATATTGATATATAAATATTAGGGATTAGAACCAGATTAGTACCATTACTTCACAGATGAAAGAGAATTACAAAATTCTTTTTACTTATTTTAAACTTTTCCTCGCCCCCAATATTTTCCATATAGTAGAGTTTCTTTTTATTTACAGTTTACTTTCTCTTTTAGCCATTTTCCTTAAATGAGGATGCATTTTTAAAAAAATCAGAAATACATTCTTGGTAACCCCACGCTACGCCGTAGACTTTGGTAATTTATTATTTTGTCTAAGCTTGTCTTTACTTGGGTTAATAACTAATACTTAATATTTCTCACTTAATACTTCTTTTATTCTTCTTCTTTTTTTTTTTTAAAGCAGAATTTATTAAGAGGACAGAAAAGCTCCCACAGTGGGAGAGGACCCAAAGGTGTTGCCCATTCTTATTTTCTAATTGCTTATTTTCTTATCAGTTAGTTTATATATTAATAAAGTATCATAGTTGCCATACTTGGCTTGTAATTGGAACCTAAATGGGTGAACAAGTAATATCAGAGATGTTTAAATTAAGAGTAAAATTTTTTGAGTGCACTTAATGTATTTTGTAATTTGATAATATAACTTCTGGCTTGTGTTAATATTATCAATGGTTTGGCTCAGTACCATTGTATTATACCATTATATATAGCAGTTCATTTTTGGAAGATTGAATTTATATTGTGTTGGGTATGTCTATAGATAAAGCTAATAATGGTTTGAGGATCTCAAATTGAGATTGGCACATTATTATCGACCTATCATCAAAAACAAAATTGAATAAGAAGTGCTCAAGGTAGCAGTCTAAAAGGTAGAACAAAACCACAACCAAATAATTGCTTTTTTAAAAAGAAACTTTATTATGGGCATTTTCAAACAAATTACAAAAGTGGAAGAATAATAAGATGAACTTCCTTGTACCCAGCAATCGTCTTTAACAATGTGGTAAATGCTTTTGATAACAGGTGGGTGGATGTACACATTGTTCGTTAGGAATAGGGAGAAAGACTACCGGGAAGTGTGAAAAAGCTTGTAGCAAATTTGAAATCAACTACGTCAATAAAGAGGTGCTGCTTATTAAGAAAAAGCAGTAGTACTGCAGCATTTAGATGTAAAAGAAATTCTTAGATATTTAAGTTCTTGAGTTACAAACCTACTTTATAGTGATATATAAATAAGAGAGAAATAGAATGAATTGATTTATTTTTGTGACTAATAGAATTTGATTTGGAGAACATTCTCCTCTGCTACCCCTTGATTATCAGGAAAGAAATTGATGTTTATTCAGCCTCTATTAAGTGTATGTGGAGAATCAATTCGTGTGCGCAATACATCTGTGAGATAGACGGGACCGCAAATGTAGAGACTAAATTCAGATAAGCAAAGCATCTGAGGTCACATAGTACGACAGGGATTGTACTCAGGAATGTTAATTTCAAAATTAATCCTTTCCCAGTGTAATCTGTACGTTATGTTAATACCACTTCTGAAGGGGGTGTCTGTTTTATTGCCTTGAAGTGGGAGGACAGGTAACTGCCCTGCGAGTAAAAACTCTTACGAGTTCATGGCGTTTTTGATTTTTGTTGGGTAACTTGCAGTGCTTAATGGTGAAAGTGTACTACTTTTTCTAACGAGGGAGCTTTTGGAGCACAGTTCATAGTTCAGGGCTGATGTGTTTAGTTGAGAACTGACACTTCTTTACATTTTCTTCTTAAAGCTCGAAAAGCAGGAACATAGAGAGGCTCGGATTCCGGCTGGCGTCGGTTGAGGGAGAGGTGGGGGAGGTGCCATACAGCGTCAGTGTGACCCACATCTGGGATGGCTGTTTCTTGGTGACTGCTTTCATTGGGATGAAAGTCCTTGGCCAGGCTCGGTGGCTCAGCCTGTAATCCCGCACCTTTGGGAGGCCGAGGTGAGGGGATTGCCTGAGCCCGCGGGTTCGAGACCCGCCTGGGCAACTTGGCGAGACCTCGTCTCCACAATAAATCAAAAATTAGCCAGGCATGGTAGCGCGCACCTGTAGTTCCAGCTACTCAGAAGGCTGAGGCGGAAGGATCGGGAGCCCAGCGGGTTGAGGTTGCGGTGGCCAGAACCGCACTCCAGTCTGAGTGAGAGTGAGATTCCAACTCAAAAAAGAAAAAAAAAGTCCTTAAATTATTTATTACCTAGTTTTTAGAAATTGGGAACTTACTTGCTGTATCTTTTAAATCCTGTTTAGCAAAGCTCCTGTTCCTGTTCCCTCTGATGATAGTCCTCAACACACTTCAGGGGCAAAGTGTGCTAAAGGAGTTCTTGAGGACTTTTTAAACAGTGATGATCAGGTAAGTGAAGCCAAATCTTTTTTAACTCGCAAGATTTATGACTAATGTGTAGATATTTGTGTCTTAGTTATTTAGCTATTTTAAGTAAAGAAGACCCAAATCCTCTCCCTCCCAACATGCCTCCAGAGATCCTTCATTCCTTCTAGAATTGTTAATTTTATTTTATAATAATATTTTGAAATTAGCATGTAATAATTGTACCAACTTATGTGGTACATAGTGATGTTTTGATATATATAATGTATAGTGATTAAATCAGGGGCCAGGTGTGGTGGCTCATGCCTGTAATCCCAGCACTTTGAGAGGCTGAGGCAGGAGGACTGTTTGAGTCCTCCTAGGCAACATAGCGAGATCTTGCCACTACAAAAAAAAATCTAAAAATTAGTTAGGTGTGGTGGCATCTGCCTGTTGTACTAGCTACTTGGGAGGCTGAGGTGCAAGGATTGCTTGCACCAGGAGTTCAGAACCAACCTGGGTAATATAACAAGACCTTGACTCTACAAAAACGTAAAAAAACTGGGCTTGGTGGCTCAGCCTGTAATCCCGCGCCTTTGGGAGGCTGAGGTGAGTGGATTGCCTGAGCCCGTGGGTTCGAGACCCACCTGGGCAGGCAAGACCTCATCTCTACAATAAATAAAAAAAATCAGCCGGACATGGTAGTGCATGCCTGTAATTCCCGCTACTTGGAAGGCTGAGGCGGAAGGATCGCCGGAGCCCAGCAGGTCGAGGCTGCGGTGGCTGGGAGCGGCCACTGCACTCCAGTCTGGGCAACAAAGTGAGACTCCAACTCAAAAAAAAAAAAAATTAGTCAGGCATGGTGGTGCATGCCTATAGTTTTAGCTACTCAGGAGGCTAACTTGAGGATCAAGTTAGGATCACTTGAGCCCAGGAGTTTGAGGCTGCGGTGAGCCGTGGTAGCACCGTTGCACTCCAGCCTGAGCAACAGAGTGAGACCCTTATTCAAAACAATAAAAACAAAATCAGGGTAATTTGCATGTCTATTACTGCAAACATTTATTATTTGTTTTTATTGGGCACATTCAAAATCCTCTCTTCTAGCTATTTGATAATATATGATAGTTGTTAACTGTAGTAAGTCAGCAGTTCTATAGAACACTAGAGCTTATTTCTCCTGTCTCTCATTTGGCTGCCCCTTATTTGTTTCTCTTTCCTGGTTGCTCTGACTTGGACTTCTAGTATTATGCAGAATAAGAGTGGTGAGACTGGGCATTCTTATCTTGCTCTAGATCTTAGAGAAAAAGCTTTCAACTTTTCCGGTGAAGTATCTATCATATTAGCTGTGGGTGTTTCATGTATGGGCTTGTGTTGAGGTATACTTCTATATCTGATTCACTGAGAATTTTCATCATGAAGCGATGTTGAATTTTATCAAAAGTTCTTTCTGCGTCTTTTGAGATTTTTTTGTCCTATATTCTGTTGTTGTGATGTGTCACATTTATTAATTTGCATATGTTGAACTATCCTTGGGATAAATCCCACTTGATCATGGTGAATTATCTTTTTTTTTTTTGAGTTGGAGTCTCACTCTGTCACCCGGACTGGAGTACAGTGGCACGCTCCCGGCCACCGCAACCTCAACCTGCTGGGCTCCGGCAGTCCTTCCACCTCAGCCTTCCAAGTAGCCGGAATTACAGGCGTGCGTTACCATGCCCGGCTGATTTTTCGATTTATTGTTGAGATGATGTCTTGCTGCCCAGGCGGGTCTCGAATCTGCAGGCTCAGGCAATCCACTCACCTAAGCCTCCCAGGCGCGGGATTACAGGTTGAGCCACCGAGCCCGACTGTGAATTATCTTTTTAGTGTGCCACTGGATTTGGTTTGCTAGTATTTTGTTGAGGATTTTTGCATCTGTGTTCATCAGGGATATTGATCTATAGTTTTCTTTTTTTGTTGTGTTCTTCTCTGATTTGGGTTCAGGGTAATGCTGGGCTTGTAGAATGAGTTAGGAAGAATTCTCTCCTCTTTGATTTTCTGGAAGGAAGAGTGTGAGAAGAATTGGAATTAGTTCTTTAAATGTTTGGAATTCAACAGTGAAACTATCCAGTCCTGGTTTTTCTTCTGTGGGAGACTTTTTATTACTGATTTGATTCAGTATACTTTTAATGGGCCTGCTCAGGTTTTCTATTTCTTCTTGATACAAATTTGATAGATTGTATGTGTTCCAGAATTTATCCATCTCTATTAGGTTTTCCAATGTATATAATTGTTTGTAATGCTTTCAAATGATCCGTTGTATTTGTCATATAAGTTGTTATGCTCCTTTTTTATTTCTGATTTTATTTATTTGAGTCTGCTTTTTTTCTTAGTTAGCCTAGCTAATGATTTGTTGATTTTGTTTTACCTATTTAAAAAGCCAACTTTTTGCCTCACTGATCTTTTTTATTCTTTTAGTCACAATTTTGTTCACTCCTGCTTAGATCTTTATTACTTCTTTTTCCTACTAATTTTGGGTTTAATTTGTTGTTGCTTTTCTAGTTTGAGATGTGCAGCATTAGGTTATTTAAAATCTTCTTACTTTTTTGATGTAGGCATGTATTGCTATAAACCTTCCCCTTAATACTGATTTTTGCTGTATCTCAGAAGTCTTGGTATGTTGTGTTCTATTTTTATTTGTGTCAAGAAAATTTTTAATTTCCTTCATAATTTTATAATTGACCAGTTGGTTGTTTAGGAACATATAATTTCCATGTGTTGTACAGTTTTGAAAGTAGTTCTTGTTATTGATTTATAGTTATATTTCATTGTGGTGAGAAAGGATACTTGGTATGATTTTATTTTTAATTTTTTTAAATTTGCTGAGACTTATTTTATGTTCTAATGTGTGGTTTATCTGGTGAATTTGCTATCTGCTGATAAGAGAGGTTGTGTATTCCATAACTGCTGTATGAAATGTCTGTAAAGTTCTGTTCAATTTTGTGTAATGTGCAGTTTAAAGCCAATTGTTTTGTTTTCTTTCTAGATGATCTTTCTGATGCTGTGAGAGGGATGTTGCATCTCAATTGTTAGATCTAATCATGTTTGCTTTATATATCTGGGTGCTCTGCTGTTGGGAGCATATAGATTTACAATTATTATAGCCTCTTGCTGAATTGATCTCTTTATCATATAATGACCTTTGTTTCTTTTTACAGCTTTTAACTTAGCCTGTTTAATCTGATGTAAGTAAAGCTACTCCTCCTTGCTTTTGGTTTCCATTTGTGTGGAATAGCTTTCTCCATACATTCGCTTTCAGTCTGTGTATATCTTAACGGGTGAAAGGAGTTTCTTGTAGGCTGCGTCTAGTTGGGTGGTTTTATTTTTAACTCAGCAAGTCTCTCTCTTTTAAGTAAGAAATTTAATTCACTTACATTCAAGGTTAATGTTGATAGGCGAGGACTTCTGTAATTTTGTTTACTGTTTTCTGGTTGTTTTGTATATCCATTGTTCCTTTCTTCCCCTCTTGTGATCATTGTGGTTTGGTAGTTTTCTGTAGTAATGTTTATTCTTTCTTCTTCGTGTATCTGCTCTACCAGTAAGTTTTATGTTTTTGTGTGTTTTCATGGTGTAGTTATCATTTGCTTGCTTCCAGATACAGGATTCCTGAGCATTTCTTGCAAGGCTGGTCTAGTGGTTGTGATTTCTGTTAATTTTTGCTTGTCTGAGAAAGACTTTCTCTTTCATTTCGGAAGGATAACTTTGCTGGGTATAGTATTGTCAGCTTTATTTTTCTTCCAGCGCTTTGAATATATTACCCTATTTTCTCTTGGCCTGTAAGATTTCTGTAGAGAAATCCCTTGTTAGGCTAATGGGAATTCTCTTATATGCAACTTAATGGCTTTCTCTTGCTGATTTTAGAATTCTCTGTTTGTCTTTGACTTTTCACAATGTGACTGTAATGTGGAAGAATTTTTTGGCTTGAATTTATTTGGGGACCTTTGGGTTTTTTGGACTTGGATGTCCATATCTCTTCCCAGACTGGGGAAATTTTCAGCTGTGGTTTCATTAAATAGGTTTTGCTGCTTTTTACCTTCTTCTTGTGAAGTTCCCATAATTTGAACATTTGTTCATTTTATGGTGTTTCTTAAGTTGTATAGGCTTTCTTTACTCTTTTTCATTTTTATATCCTTTTTTCCTCTGGGTAATTTTAAATGATCCATCCTCAAGTTCAGAGATTGTTTCTTTTACTTGATCAAGTCTGTTGTTGGAACTGTATTGTATTTTTGCATCTTTAATGAATTTTTCAGCTATAGGATTTCTGTTTGGTTTTTTATTTTTTTGTTGAATTTCTTGTTCATATTATGAATTGTATTCCTTATTTTGTCAGATTGTCTCTCTGTATTTTCTTACATCTCATTCGTTTCTTTAGGATCATTACTTACAATTTCTTTTCCAGCAATTTTTTTATTTCACTAGGGTCTGTTACTAGAGGTTTCATATTCTTTTGGTGGTGTCATTCCTTGGCTTTTCATGTTTCTTATGTTTCTGCATTGATGTCTGTGTGCCTTTCCTTTCTGAATTCCTGTGTTTTCTTGAAGTTTGCTGGGTTTTCTTAAGACAGCTGTTGTGAATTATTTGTCTGCCAGATTGTTCCTCTGCAGGGCTTTGGGATCAGTTGCTTATATTGTAGATAGTTTTTCAGTTTGGGTTTGTCTGAAGTTTTCTTGTGATTAGAATGAGGTTATGCTTTTTTGGCAAGAGTACCAAAGAAGTAATGTTCTCTTCTCAGTGCATGATACCAGAGGGTTCATGATACGGTGATCTCATTAGTATATTGGTATGTTAGTACAATAATGTAACAACATATAATAACACTGCATAATAATATGTAAATACTGGTGGTGTTAAACCTTGAACCCTTGGTTAAGGTGGTATTTATTGACTTTCCCCTTAGTATAAAGTTACTGTTTCCCATGTAATTATTAAATATCTTAGACTGCTTTGAGACCATGTAAATAGCTTGTTTCTCCTCAAACTTCTGTCTACAAATTTTAGTATCTAAAATTTTTTAGTGAACCTTTTCTTCTGTATTTGCTAATTAGAATCCTTTTATAATGAATAACTATGCCTTCTCCCTCATTTATTTACTAAATTATTTATATCAATTTGGATACATAGGTATTTATCTTATTCTAGTCTTATATTACAATGTTATTATTTATGCTGTTCAGATTGTTCCTGTTTAGACATTTAGGAGTTCCTGCAGGTTGGCTCCTTTGCCCTTTTTACATGTCTCCATTCTTTTTGGAGCACTTTCCTTGGTAAATTGTTTTTATCAACTAAGATCTAGACATTAGTTGCCCCTATTGTGACTGGATTGTTATTCATTCTAGTCTCTATCGATAGGAAGACCTAAGAAACACATCTGTGTACAAACTCACAGGTACTTACACATCAACATTTCTATGTTTCTCTGTATATGAATGTATATATGTGTTATTTTACATATATGTATAAAATAATGAGTTCATACTGGTATCTCTGATTCTAGTCCAATACCACAGGATTTGTTTTAACTTTTCCTGTTTCTTTTTGGAATTCTTTGTCCATCAATGAGAATCCTATCATTATCTAAAATAGATTTATATATTTGCTCTGTCCTAGTATACACATAAGTAGTTTTAGAATTGCTAACCGCTATCCTTGTAAATAACAAATTTGCTAACTAGGTCACATTACTTGTATTTGTTCCTTTTGTCTTCGCCTAAACAATCAAATCAAAATACTGTTTTCCGGAGTCACCTACATTCATTTTTTTTTTCCAACCCTTTTTAGTGAGATGAAAATTGGTTGTGCATCATGTATTTATAATACTGTTATTTGGTTCATTTATTATTATATGCAGTTGACCCTCTGTATCTGTGGGTTCCACATCTATAGATTCAACCAACTGTGGATTGAAAATATTTGAGAAAAGTAAAAATAAAATACAACAATAAAAATAGTACAAACAAAAAACCAATGCAGTATAACAACTATTATATTAATATTTACATGATATTAGGTATTGTAAGTAATCTAGTGGTAATTTAAAGGATATGGGAGAATATGTGCGCATTATATGCAAACACTGTACCGTCTGGTATCAGGGACTCGAGTCTGGTCTTCACAGAGAGTTCTGGAGGATCTTCCAAGACTCCAGCTATGTATTGGGAAACTATATATATTCATTGTTTTTTGAATATATGCAATATTACTGTGGTTCTAAGAGTCGGAGATAAATAAAAAGTTGTATCCAGAGCCATTCATTACCAGCTTTCAATGAAGAGTCTTAGAATACGTTGTATTACTCCATTCACCAAGCACCAACATTTTTTGAACATTCATTAAATATCAACAGTGGCACAAAGTGTGCCATAAGATATTCTGGGTGAGCGGCATGGTTAAAAAGATTTCAAAGAGTCTCCCACAGTTATATGAACAGAAAAGAAGAAATAAGAAATGGAAGTGTGAAATGGTGTAGCCACTGTGAAAACGGTCCAGGAATCCCACAAAAAACTAAACATCGAATGACCTTATGACCCTCCAGTTTGTTCACGTTTGTTTACAGACACACCCATACTTACACATCTACGTTGATCTGAATGTGAATGTTTGTATGTGTTTATAGGGAATACCACATATGTGTGCATTTTGTATAACATTCTGTAGTATTTTGTCTTCTTTTGGTGTCCTGACCATTTCTTTGCTTGAAAAGGTCACTTAAGTCCAGAGGCAGGCTCTTGCAGCTCTTATGGGTGGCATCAGGAACCAGAGGTGCTGAAAGCGTGGCTGGACGCAGATCGTTTGGCGATAATGCTTCAGGTGCTGTCTCTAAGGGTTTGGGAGCATCAGCCTAACTGGATCCTTATATCGCTGTTTCTTTTTATAGAGACATCTTGATTCTATTGTGGTAAAGATACGCATTATGCAAGATTTGCCGTTGTAGTCCTGGTTGAGTGTACACTGGGGCATTAAGTCCCTTCACGTGTGTGTGGCTGTTGCCTTCGTCCACCTCCAGAACTTTCCCGTCGTTGCAAAATGAAACTCTGAACTCATTCAACTCTAACTCCTCATTTTTTCCTCCCCTAGCCCTTGGCAAGCAGCTTCCTACTTTCTGTCACTGAATTTGCGACTCTAGGAACCTCATAGAAGAAGAAGAATAAAATATGGGTCCTATGTGTGACTGACTTATTTCACGTTGCATATTGTCTTCATGGTTTATCCATATTGTAGGGGTTTTCACAATTTTCTTTCTCAGACTGAATAATATTCCATCGTATGTATGTGCCGCATTTTGTTGATTCATTCCTCTGTTGATGGACTCTTGTGTTGCTTCCATTTTTGGTTGTTGTGACTAATGCTGCTATGAACATGGATGTACAGATAATCTGTCTGAGTTCCTGCTTTCAGTTCTTCTGGAAGGGAAATTGCAGAATCATTTAGTAATTCTATGTTTAGTTTTATGTGGAATTCCTATACTGTTTTCCACAGTAACTATACCATTTCACACTTCCATTTCCTATTTCTTATTTTCTGTTCATATAACTGTGGGAGACTCTTTGAAATTTTTTTAACCATATGCTTACCCACAATCTCTTATGCTAATCAACTGCCTATAGAATGAAGTTTTAAATAGTACTTATCCTGCACTGTCTATGCTGAAATATGTTAAATCACAGACATCTTAAGATATCTGCCACTTTGGATAGCTGGCAGGACACAGAAATTCATTTGAAAGATGTAAAACAATAGGTTGGTAAGAAATTAAAGAAGTTAAAAAATTTTTCTTACAGATTATCTTAAAAGAAACCTGACCTCTTATGTGGCTGAGTGCTAGATAACATGGGTAAGGCCAGTGGTAATGGAAGTCTGAGTGTTCTTTGGATAGTAAGAAATGTGAAGCCTGTGAAGAGGTGAAAAGTCTACATTCTTTGTAGGAAAACATTTAAAAGTGTGCAGAGAATACTATATTTGAGATTGTAGTCCTTGCTCTGTTGGAAAGGACATACTGTTTTATCTGCTCTCTGACTTTAAAAAATCTGTGATTTTTAAATGTACTCAATGAATTTGTTATAAATGTTAACATGCACTGTTCATTTTAGAAGAGCAAGGACTATGAAAGGACGTGCCAAACTGTTAATTGTGATTGTCTCTAAGTAGCTTTACCTGGGTACTGGGCATGGGGAAGTGGTGAGTTATGATTGTGATTTTTTTTTTTTTTAACACTTTATTGACTTTTGTTGTTGGGATTTTTTTTTTAATTAATTTTATGTTGGAGGCAAATAATACAAAGTAAAACTTTTTCCTCCAGAATTTAGATGGTTAACCTAATATTGTAATCTGTTTTAACCTTAGACCTGTACTCTTTCTGGAGGCAAACATCATGGTCCTGTTGAAGCCCTGAAACAAATGTTATTCAATCTTCAAGCAGTACAAGAAAGTTTTAATCAGAATAAAACCACAGAGCCAGAAAAAGAGACTATGCAAGTAGGCATTTATGATTTATGAATTGAGATTTGTGATTTCACCAAAAGACTTTTTTCAGCATCTTTTTTAGACCTTCTAATTTTATGTTAAACTCATTTGCGACCGCTGATGTGAATTTATGTCATTCCAAATTCTGTTCCTGGTTGCCACTGATGTGAATTCCTGTCATTCAAGATTCTGTTTCTGAATGCTGCCGTGTTGTCATGTGTATGTGTTACTATATTTTGTTTGAAAATGAATAGTCAGGCAAGGAGAGAGAAAGTTAATTGAGAGAATTATCTGATACCGATTGTGCAATGTTGTTAGCTGATTTACTCAGTTGGTAAAAATTGCAAGTTGGTCATTATTTTGTTGCGATTCATGTTATGTACTTGTATTTTGGTATTTCAGAGCTTTCATATTCAACACTAAAAATAATTTACCATAATTATGCATAGTGAAGAAATATATGCCGATGAGATTTCCGAGGTCGAAGGTGAATCCAGTGAACTTTTAAGTGATAGTGAGACAGATAGTGATGTAATGATGCAATATAAATGAAGCAGTATAACCCAGATAATCTATGACAGTGAAACTAGTATTGGTGAGAACGAATCAGATACTGAGTGGACAAAATATTCAGAAAGAAACTTAGAAGTGTTTATTGGTAATCCAGGTGTGAAGGTAGTTCCAAATGATCCTCAAAGTATAAGTGAAGTTGTCGGACAATTTATTGAAGATGATTTTATAGAAACGATTACACCTGAAACTAACAGGTATTATGATCAGATGCATGGTAGATATAAACGTCCAAAGACATTTTTAAAAGTGGAACAATACTACAGTGTCCGAGATGAAACAATTTCTAGTATTAAATATTTTGATGGGACAAGTGAAGAAAACCACAATACATGATTATTGGTCAGCACATCCATCAATTGTAATGCCTTTTTTAAAAAAAAAAAAAAAATAATGACACAAAATAGATTCCTACAAATTTTGCAGTTTTTGTATTTTTTCCAATAATGAAGAAATGCAGCCAAATCAAAGTAGATTGTGCAAAATTGAGCCCATAATAAATTATGTTTTAAATAAGTTCAGCACTGTGTAAACCTGAACAAGAACTTTCCTTGAATGAATTCATGATACCTCATCATGGAATTCTGTCTTTGCGGGTTTATAATCTGAATAAAAAATACATAGTACAGAATGCTAGTCAGTGTGGTATCTGAGGCAAATATTGAGTATGTCTGCAGCCTTCAGCTGTATTGTGGAAAAGGTGACAATTTCACTTGTGCTTAACAACAGAAGTTTATGGCATCCAGCTTCAGACTTTTTATTTTTATTTTCACCTGCTCTCAGTATTAGGAAAGTGAAAAACTTGTTGGTCGCGAATGTGCCAATAAGCATGCCACATTACTATGTTGTAGAGTTGATTATTGTTCTTTTTTTTTTTTTTAAAGTAATTTACTTGCATTTATTTTTATTTGACTTCTGTGATTGTTTATCTCTGAACAGATTCTTCTCTTTAGCTTATGGTTATAAATTCAGCATCTTAGATACAATGATGTTACAACTGAAGTATGAAAAGGTTGTAATTGTTTTTGAATGCTCTACAAAATTAATCTGTATGAACCACATTCTTGTAGTTGTATTTGGGGAGGCCTAGAAAACTTTTTCAACATTAGACTCTTCCATACCCCTTTGCCATCTGAAATTTATTTTTGTTACCGTGTCTTTATTGAATCTTCTGAGTGCAGTTATATAAAGTTGTATTTTAGGACCGTTGTGTTTTTTCAGTTTGTATATTTCTAGGAAATTGGAAATCTGTTTTTACTTTTACATTCTATATGCTGCTATTCTATATGATGAACTTTTTTTCCACAAAAGTATAATGTTTAAGAGCATAGACAATATATTTTCCCAACAACGATTGTAAATTCTAATTCTGCCACTTAATAGCAAATATGATATTTGTACAAATCATTTAATCTCTGGCTCTTTTTAAAAATTTGTTAATTTATTTTTTAATTCACAAATATTACATATATTTTTGCTGTACAACAATCTTAGAATGGCCAACTTGAGTTAATTGAGCTATCTCACGTACTTATTTTTCATGATGAGAACACTTAAAATCTGCTCTTAGTGATTTTCAGGTATATAATACATTGCTATTAAAATAGTATATACTATGACATAAAATATCTTGAACTTATTCCTCCTGTCTAACTGAAATTTTATATCCTTTGACCAACGTCTCTCCAAACTTTCTTCCCTATTTCCCCTGGTAACCACTATTCTACTCTTCACTTCAATGACTTTGACTTAAAGATTACTCTGCAGTATTTGTTTTCCTGTGCCTACCTTATTTCACTTACCAGTTTACTTTTCTGTAAAATGAGGGTGTTGAGAAATAAGTTGAGACAAACTATGAAGTACTTAGCATAGTGCTTGTCACCTGGTAAATACTCATTTTAAATGGTAGCTTTTTTTTTGTTGTCGTGGTTTCTAATATTCTTATTCAGTAGAGCTTTATGAAATTCAGTTTTTATTACAAATGAGTAGATCAACTCTTGAGAACTTCCACAACTTGCTCATTTGAGTTGTATTTCTCAATTTCTCTCCTTACATTCTAATAGTCTTAACATTAACATATAGAATGAAACCATCCTTCCTTACATTCAAATAATCATTAACATATAGAATGTAATTCATCCTTCTCTGTCCTCCTCTTTTAAATATTGAGATATAACCCTGCTCAGTAAAGTCATAATTTTAAGCCAAGATTTGAATTTTAATGCACATATGGTTAGAAGTATACTTCAGTATTAGTTTAGTATTTTTAGAATAAAGGGAAAATAAAAACATTTAATGCTCTCATGAAAATTATTTGCTAGAATTAATTTTTTGAAAGTACAGAACATATTTTCTAGTTTCCTTAGCCACATTTTAAATAGTATTTTATAGTTGCATGATGTTTTAAATATTTTGTTATATTTGGTGTTTTTAATAATAGGTTTCAGAAGATGATTTCTCTAAATTACAGTTGAAAGAAAGTATGATTCCTATTACTAGGTCACTTCAAAAGTAAGTATTCTTTTTAAAAATTTTTTATTATTTATTTTTATTTTAAAGATGTGGGGTACAATTCAGGGTAAGGCATACAAATGCTCATGATGCAGGTACCCAAAAGGTAAGTATTCTTTACTAATATGGATACAAACTAATTTTAGCCATTCCTTTGACTTAATCAGAAAGTTACTGGGTGAAAGATATGCTAGACATATTTAGGCTTCTTGGAACACAGGGTTTAATCACAATGAAGAACATTGTTTTGTTTTAAATCTGTGTTCTTTCCTATTTAGAATGTTACTGAGAACTAATGAGAAACCTTTAGACATTTAAAATGTAATGGATATGAATGATTCATTTCTGAGTAGCAATAGCAACGATTTGTGATAGTACTTGTGTGATTGTCTTGAGTAACTCGTTACAAAATATGTTCCCATGTAATCCCTCTAGAATAAATGTAACAATCATATTATTGTTTGAAGCATCACCACAGAAATCTATGTGATCGTGTCTTGGATATAAAGATAGGTCTGATTTCCTTAGTTGCATTGTCTTAAAAGATGGAGAAGACTGCAACTCATTCTTGTAGTCATGGTATTGGCAGAAGAGTATTTATTTTGGGATTTGGTTGTGTGAACATGTCCTCAGAAGATCGAATACGGAGCTTAGATTGAGACCTAAGATGAAAAATTTCCACTCTAGCAAGGCAGTTTCGCTTGGCCGTCAGGGAGGCCCCACAAGGTTCTCTACCTTTTGTACATTCAGAATTTGCTTAGGATTCTGCTATCTAAAGAACCGGTGGAAAAATAAAAAAAATTGAAAACACAGGTATCCCGTAGGATCGTGTTTTTGGTTTATAGCCTCCAGGGTGGAAACAGTGCCTCCGTGTTTGTAGTTCGCCCGGTGCGCGAGTGAGAGTTCGTGCCCCGCAGCATCGGGGCGTGCCGGTCGGCACCCAGCGTTCGTGGCGCTCTCGCCCTGTCGTGCCCTCGGCCCGCCGCGTCGTCCCGGGGCAGGCGTGGGGCCTCGCGGGGCCGCCGAGGGCGCGCCTGCTGCGGCCGCTCCTCCGGCCGGGCTGTGCCTCGAGCCACGCGGGGCCTCGGCCGCCGTCGGGCGCAGGCGGAGGCGCGGGGCGAGCGCCCGGAGGCGTTGCGCGGCCCTGTTTCGCCAAGTGAGGTCTCCCGGGGACGCCCACGCGCTCCACGGCGGCGCGCGCGGGCCGGCCGAGGCCGCGGGGGGAGGCGGGCGGCGGGCGGCGGGCGGCGGGCGGCGGGCGGCGGGC